CCGGCCGCCCAGGCGCAGTGCGCGCAGCTCAGCGACGGCCCGTCCGACGCGGAGGGCTCCTCGGGTCCGGGCGCCGCCGAAGCCGCCGCCGCCGCCGCCGCCGCCGCCGACGCCATCGCCGACGCCGACGCCGACGACGCCGCTGCTCACCACCCACCGGAGCACCCCAACCCAACCCGAAGGTCTCAAGTTGCCCTCCACTTCCAGTGGGGGGGGGGGGCGGGGAACATTAAGAAAACACGTATGGGACCCGTACCCCACCCCAAACCCGAAATTCGGGTCTTCGGGTTGGGCTGGTGTGGTCTGGCAGGCAGTCGGACGCCGACGCCGACGCCGACGGGCGTGCGCGCGGCCCCGCCTGCTGCCATGGGGCCGCAGCCCGGCACAGCAGGGGCCGGAGATCCGGCACGGCGCAGAAGTCGGCGTCGGCGTCGGCGTCGGCGTCGGCGTCGGCGTCGGCGTCGTCGTCGTCGTCGTCGTCGTCGCGTCGTCGTCGTCGTCGTCGGCGTCGTCGGCGTCGTCGTCGTCGTCGTCGTCGCCGCCCGGCCGGTGGGAGGGGTGGTTGCTTTGCCGCGGCGGAGGCCAGAGGGTCGGCACCATGCAGCAGGCTTGGCTCGGTGGTCCAGGGGCCTCCTGCCATTGCTGGGCTGCGCGCCCAGACATCCAGAGTCTCGAAAAGTGCGAGGCGGAGGTTTTTCATGATGTTCGGGAACGGCTGAAGGGGACCTTACCCGGCTTCGGTAGCGTGAAATTGACGATTCGGGGTGAAACATTGGTTTTGGGGAAGTGGTCGAGCCTCTCGACCTCTCGATTCGAATGGTCGGAGCCCCTAGTTTCGAGCAAGTCGAGCCGCCCGATGTCTGGGCTGCTGCGACCTCGCCGCACCTTCGCTGTGAGTAGCACCGCGTCTCGCAGCTCTTACATCTTTCCAGTGAGGTTTGCAGCACCACTGTGTCTCATCCTGTGGAGCTTCAGCAACTGGTGAGCCTCAAGGGAGGGTATTACAAAAACCAAATATCGGAGGCCCAGAGGTGTACGCCAGCACCCATACCGGCAGCGTGCCTCCACCGAGGGAAGATGCCCCCCCGATCTCGGTGATAGTGGAAAGATTCGGGTTTTCGCAGTGGCCGTAACGTTGCCACCAGCACCGAAATGTAGGATCATCTTCCCCCAGTGGAGGCAACCCCCCTGGGTTGGTGTCGGTGCCCGTTGCCACGCCTTCAATAGGGGAACACAAAGTGGCATAAACATAAAATCTCGGAGGTCCGCGCGGATTGCTCGGATCGGCGCTGGGGCCCCCCGGCGGCGCCTCCGGCGCCGCAGGGGGCGCGCTCCGCGCGCCAGGGAGGGGGTCCAGTACCGATCCGAGAAATCCGCCCGGACCTCCGAGTTTCTATGTTTACGTCACTTCGCCCAAAATCAGCCTGTAGGGGGACAGGCCCGACTTAAGGCTACAGTGGAGGCCCATGCCAAGGAACACCCTGCTCGCCTCCAGGGTGCCCTGAGTTTCTCGGGTTCCGATGGTCTTGCGACGGGAAGCGTGGCGCTCCCACGCCAAAACATTGACGGGCGTCCTGGATTCTCAGGGTTGGGTTTCTTGCGGGAGGTTTCTTGTGGCCGAGCCCCTACTGCAGGGGGAGCGTCCCTGGGCGCCTCTGCAGGAACACCGGCAACAAAACGCCTGGAGGGGCTGTCGGGGGTGGCGCGCTCCCCAGACAGCAGCGCACCGCACCTGAGGTCATCCGTAAGCACTGGTCTTTGAAAGTAGGTATTTTTGGATGCCCATCTCCCACATCTCTTTTAGGCGCCTTCCTACTTCAAGGCTCGAGCGAAGTTGCCTCCTCCCTCTTTTTTTCCGGGAGCGGGCGGAAGCCCGAGCTACTTCAACGCTCGCCCGCGCCTCCTCACCCGCCAGTGCGGGCAGACTCGGCGCAGCGCCCGCTTGCAGCACGGCCCGCGGCGGACCGAGCACAGGCCATGTGCAGTTCCCCTGCACGCGGCCACCACTAATGCCGTGGCCCAGCATTCCCACCACTCGGGGGAGCGTAAGACCCGGGTTTGCCGGGACTCGGGTTCGCCATCGTTTTTTGACGACCGCGCCTCGGATTTTGACGAGGAGGAGTTTCGTGGGATGTCTGCAGCGGGAGGCCTCGTCAAAATGCAGGCTCGGCCTCGCCATTGTTTTGACGACCTCGTCGGGGATTTCCGAGTCCCCTGTACCCGTGTCTTACGTCTCCCCGACACTAATGCCGTGGCCCAGCATTCCCACCACGCCCCTTTCCAGAGCAGGTGCGCGGTCACGCCGCGCACAGTTGCCACGCAGCGCACACATGCATTGGCTTACAGACGGTAGGGCGGCCTCGTCAGAACGCGACGTGCACGAGCGCCAGCTTGATCGTGCTCAGCAGGCCCTCCCTGCCGACTTGCGCTGGCACCCGTGCCACACTGCTCACGTCCGCCGCTTCTTTTTGATTGGACCACTGCGGCCTTGCAAGGCCCGTGCCTTCTCGGGGCACCTGATGACCTTGGCCTGCTTGATGACCTTGGCCTTCGTCCACGGAGAGCCGCTCGTACCGCTAGCCTCGCGCCCAGGTGCGGGCACCCTGCCGTCCGATACCTTCCACTACGTTCCACTCCGCGGCGGCGCGATTGACAAGCTGACCCTGGATTGGGTGCACTCGAACAGCAGTGCTTCAGATCGCCCACCTCGCGGCCGTTGGAGATGCTCGCCGCCCTTGGAGATGCCTGCCATCTCTCGGAACCACGGAGCGGGCCGCCCCCACACGGGGACGGCCTATCGAGCCAGCCCCAGCCCGCACAGAATTTCCCCAATCAGAGCTTGCCTCTGTGGGGATCCTGGCGGATTCATATGGTTAGGTTAGGTTTGCCGCCGATTTTCGCTGCACGCCCGGGTGCCCTGGTGCCCGGGGGTGCCCGGGTGCCCGCGCGTGCCCGGGGGTGCCCGAGTGCCCGGGGGTGCCCTATAGCCACATAGCCCTATAGCCCTATAGCCCTACAGCCCTATAGCCCTATAGCCCTATAGCTTTAAAGCCTTGTAGCCCTATAGCCCTATAGCCATACTATAGCCCTATAGCTCTATCGTCCTATAGCCCAATAGCCCAATAGCCCATATAGCCCTACAGCCCTGCAGCCCATATAGCCCTATAACCCTATAGCCCTACAGCCCTAAAACGATCATGGTTGGGTTTTTTCTCGGGCACCATTTTTTTGGTGTGCCACCACGCCCGCGACCTACGCCGGAGGCAGGCGACGGGGTGTTTTGGGCGGCGGCCCCTGCCCGAAAAGACGCGGTGGCGCAATGGCGAACCCTCCCTTTGGGCCTCCTGTGGAGCCCGCTTTTGCGGGGCCTCGAGACGTGTGAGCTTGGAAGAAGCTCCTCGACCACTTGAAGAGCGGCTAGAGGTTAGACTTTCGAGTTCGATTTTACAATCGTCTTCGCGACAGACAGCTGTTCGTTCCGCCTGCGGGAGGCCGATTATACAGCGCAGAGCCAAAAAAACACGCATCGTCATGAGCATCATTCTCCCCCTCCATGTGGGGCCACGAGACCTCTGAGAGGTGCGCCGACATGTGTGCGGCGGCACCATGCGAGCCCTCCCTCTGCGGCCTTCTGTGGAGCTCCTTCTACGGGGCCGCGAAGCGAGTGAGGGGGGGGCCAAAATGGGCGCGGTGGTGCCACGCGAATCCTCCCTCTGCAGTCTGCGGTGGAGACTTCTATGTGGCCACGAAAAGTGTGAGGGTTGCGCCAGTATTGGTGCGGTGGCACCATGCGAGCCCGCCCACCGGGGGTTTCATTGGGGTTCCCTATGCGGCCACGAAGCGCGCAAGGGGTGCGCCAGCATGCGTGCGGTGGCACCATGCGAACCCGCCCACTGGGGCCTTCTGTGGAGCCCCTTTGGGGCCAGAACACGTGTAATGTATACGTGTGTGTCAAAGTGGGCGCGGTGGCGCCGTGAGAACCCTCCCACTGGGTCTTCTTGGCGGTGGCACCACGCGAACCCTCCCATAGGGGCGTTGGTGGAGCTCCCTCTATGGGGCCACGGAACGAGTGAGGGGCCATTCCATTACAGCCTGCGGTGGACCCTCCTGTGGGGCCACGAAAATTGTGAGGGGTGCGCCGGCATGGGTGCGGTGGCACCATTCGAACCCTGCCGCTTGGGCATTCAGTGGACCTTACTGAGGCTGCCACGAAACGTGTGAGGAGTGCGCCAACATAGGCGCGGTGGCACCATTCGAAACCTCCCACTGGGGCCTCAAGTGAACTCCCGATTGGGCTACGAAAAGTTTGAGGCATGTGCCGAAACGTGACTGATGATGCTGGTGATAGTGATGATGCTGATGATCATGGCGCTGATGGTGGTGGTAGTGATTATGACGATGATGTTGATGCAGATGATGGTGATGATGATGATTGTGATGCTGATGTTGATGGTAATGATGATCGTGATGTTGATAATGACGATGATCGTGGTGATGGTGATGGTGATGATGATGCTGAGGATGTGGATGCTGATTATGATGATACTGATCATGATGATGGTGCTGATGCTAATGATGATGACAGTGCTGCTGCTGATGATGGTGATGATGCTGATGATGCTAGGGGTGCCTAGACGATGGTGATGAGGCTTATGATGGTGATGTTGATGGTGATGATGTTGGTGATGGTGATGGTGCTGCTTGTGATGATGATGGTTATGATGATGATGACGATGATGATGATGATGAAAGTGATACTGGTGCTGATGGTGATTGTGGTGGTGATGCTGATGCTGATGCTGATGACGATGCTGCTGATGATGGTGATGACGACGACGACAACGACGATGGTCATGATGATGGTGATGATGACGAATGCGATGATGCTGATGATGTTGAAGGTGATGCGTATGACGTCATGCTGATGATGATGACGATGGTATTGATGATGGTGTTGATGATGGTATTGATGATGCTGTTGGTTGTAATGCTGCTGCTGCTGTTGATGATTGTGATGGTGGTGGTGATGGTGATGGTGACGATGACGAGGTGGGAGGAGAGCACGAGCGGGAACGCGAGGCGATGCTGACCCAACACGAGGACCCAACACCACAAGACGGTTGGGATAATGATCTTGGGCGAAGCACTGGCCCTGCGGGAAGCGCCGGGGATTCCCTGCGGCCGCGCGTGGAAGCAAACTGCCATACCGTCGCACTTCGGGGAGTGAGGGCAGCCAATCCCACCACGCCCTTTCAGACCCAGCAAGCGTGGAGGGCGGAATTCACTCACGAGTTGCGTTTGGGGGGTGCATCTCCTCATTCTCCTGCATCCGCCGCCTCCCCCGTCTTCGCCTCATCCAATGTAGACAGCCCCCTCTCCCTGCTTAGGCATTGCACGTGAGGCCAGGTTTTTGGATCCAGATCCGCTATCACATTCGTCGGCGGATGTAGAAAAGCCGGCGCAACGGGAATAAAAGGGTGGGAGGGCCATGACGTCAGATCCAGAGCGCGTGTGTATATTAAGCTGGTCTTCCTATTCTCTCCTCCCTGTAGGGTCGCATCTGCCGTCGTCGCGCCGTCTCCGCCTCCCAAACCTGGGTCCCGCGTGCGACCTGGGTCCAGCAGATCTTCGATACCCTCCCTTCCCTTCTCCTCTCCCCCCCCCCAGCTTCCTCGCACGCATCCTCCCGCCCCACCGCGCGCCCAGCCGGGCCGCAGCTGCGACGCGGGCAGCGTCCGCGCCGCGGCGGCACGCGCATCGGCGCTTGCCACCGATGGGGGGCACCGAGCGGTGCGGTGGGCGCGCCGTGTGGCACGTGACGGCTCGGCTTCGGGACTCGCGCCGCCCTCCGGGGCCGTCTGCGGGCGACGGGGGCTTCTTGGAGGCCCCAGGGCCTCGCGGCGGCGGGCCCTTCTATCGCGAGGTCCTGCGGCGGCACGCCCAGCGCAGGGCGGAGGGCACGGCGGCGGCCTTGGATCAGGAGCGGCGTCTTGTCAGGAGGGAAAGGAACACACAGACACAATTCATCGTCGATTCCCCAGAAAATATGGGAGAATATGGGAAATGGGGGGGAAGACAAAACCCACCCAAATATTGGAAACTATGAGGACTGTTTTTTATTTATTTGTGTGTGTTTATTTGTGTGTCCTGGGGGCCCAGGCCCCGGCGCATTCCTTGCGCATTTCAAGGCGATGTGGGCGGCCCGCGCTGGGCCGCCCATCGGTCGCGAGGCCCCGGGTTCCCCTATCGAAGGCGTCCTGGTCCAGAACCCTCCAGCGTCGACAAGCGCTGCTCGGTGGCCCCCGCCTCGAGGTCGGTGGCGCTGCGGCGGGTCCGCTCGATGCCGAGCGGCTCCCAGAGCCACTGGAGCCGGAGCCCATGGCGGCTTGCGGGGGTGCCCCCCTGGGGGCGCAGAGACTCGGCGGCCAGCCTTCGGAGAAGTTCCCGAAGCCTTCCCCGAGGACGCAGGAGACCTCTCAGACGGCGCGAGGGCATCTGTGAAGCCCCGCTGCCCTCTGAGGAGGCCTTCTCCTTCGCACTTCCCCCTCTCGCCCGCCGCCGAAGAACGAGCGCACTTCTTCGTGCGTCTCGGCCTGGGCAGAGAGCCGCCTTGTTTCATGGGGGGGATTCCTCGTGGAGAGCTCGAAGGACATCGTACGTGGCGCATCGAGGGGCGCGATGTGCGACGTGAGGCGACATCACATGAGCACTTGGCCTGCCAGCAGGGTGCCCTACGGAAGCGTCTGGTCCCCAAATGGTCCTGGGGACCCACAGACGCCCTGGGGCGCCTCGAGGACCAGCAACGAAGGGTGAGGAATCGGCCCCAAGACTTCTCGTCGCAGGGCCTCTTGTACTGTGTGTGTGTGTGTGTGTCCATCTGCTCGCCATCGCCACTGCGCCCTGGCGGCGCCCGCGTGTGCGCCCTGGCCTCGGCCCTGGCTGCTGCCGCGGTCCGCGTTGCCCCGGCTGGCCGCTCCGGCCTGCTCCTCGCAGAACTCTTCCACGTCTGAACGCTGCCCACCTCCTCCTCCCCTCGCGCGGCCGCCCTCGTCTTAGCTCCTCCCTCCTGCACGCCGGACAATGCGCTGCTCGGTTGCCCCGAGTATCCCCCACGCTGGCGCGGACTGCCTCTGCCTCGCCGCCGGCGAGAACGTGTGTCCGAGGCGCGGGCCCCCGATCTTTCGACCAGTTCCCCAGGGCCTCCCGAGCCGTGTCCCCGAATGTCCCGAGGCCCCGTGCGGGCCCTGAGACGCCGAACGTTGAGAGGCACACCCGTCCCCGTTTTTGCGAGCCGCCGGGTGCCCGGGATTGCAAGACCTCGCCGCCCACCAGACCGCCCCAACCCAACCCGGAGTCCCCGATTCGCCCTCCATTTCCACGGGGGGTGGGGGCTCGGGGAACACTGAAACAGCATCTACGAAGCCCGTACCCCCCCCCCAACCCGAAATTCGGGCAGAATTCTGGGCTTCGGGTTGGATTGGGGTGGTCTGGTAGGTAGTCAAGAACAGAGTTTGCCACGTGCCAGCCTGGCTCGAATGGCGGAGTCGCCAGCGCGGTCCGGGGAGGAGAGGCGACACCACCACCACCACCACCACCAGGGGGGGCACCTCCTCTCTGCGAGGCCTCCCCGAGCCGGGAAGGGGGGTTGCCTCGATCGAGGGGGGAGGGGACCACACCACCATAAGGGGGACCCACCCAACAACAGAAACTCTTGCCGCTGCTGGTTCATGGTTCAAAGGGCAGGAAGGCGATGCAGAATGCACTTGTCCATGGAGCGAGCGGTGTTCACTCGCCCTGTGGGGCGCGCTCCGCTGCCACCGGCACTGCCATTGTGGCCTTGAGGGCGGGGGCACCTCGCTATGCAAAACCATGAAACAGTTCATGGTGTATTGTTCTTGTGTTAATCTCGTGGCAGTAAAATTTGTTTTGTTCAGGGTTCGACATCTGGTCGAAGGGTGGGGGGGAGGGGGGCGATCTGGGCCTGGGACGGTGCCTGATCGATCTGCTGCCGCCAGTCGCGCCAGTCCCCGAGCAGGCGCCCCAAGAAGCAGCCGCCCAGAGCAGCCACGGTCTTGTCTATTCGGGGGGCAAGAAAGGGGGAGGAGGCGAGGGACCCGCCCCGATCGGCAAAACCTTGCATATTGGTCTTGGTATCGCTCGGACGTGTGCACTCTTTTTCTCGGCGGGGAGTTTTCAGGAGCGTCCTGGATCCTCCTGCGAAACAAAAAAAAACACGCACGACACCGGAGCAAAAAACACAGGGGATGGACGTCCGAGCGATGGCCAGCGGTGGTGGTGTCGCTTCCCCGTGCTCCTGCCCGGGTGCTCGGTCGTTACGTCTCGCGCGCCGGTCGCCCCCCCCCCCCCCCCGGGCCGCCCCGGCAGGGCAGGGCCGCGAGCCGCCGGCGGAGGAGAGGGACGAGCTCGGGCGCACGGCGCTCCCCCGCCGTGCGGAGCCGCCCCCCCCCGGGGGGCCGCAGGGCAAGCAGTGACGAAGCGTCCTGGCTCGCCTATAGCCCCACGAAAAAGTGTTATGAGAACCTTTGTTGTGGCGTCCCACGACATGTTCTTAGAGCATGTAAGGCGGAGCCTGTCTTGTTGTAAAACATCGGGGATCTGTTCTAAGAACATTGTTTTTTGTTGTGAGAACATGTTTGGGTTCTAAGAGCATTTCGTGGTAGGACTATAGGAATGCCGGGACGGTCGGTCCCTGCTCAAGCAGGACACTTTGCAGTGGCAGCCCATGCCAGAGAACACCCCGCTTGCCTCCCTGGTGCCTTGGGTTTCTTGGGTGTCGATGGCCTTTTGCGACGCACCAGAATCCCATGGGCGTCCTGGGGTCTCAGGCTTGTGCTCGAGCTCCTGCTGAATGCCTCCCAGATGGGGCATGATTGGCAGATTCCAGACGCTTCGCGTATCCGCGCCAGACCGGCCCACCGCTTTAGGTTAATTCGTCTTTGTACGGCCCGTTCTGACTGGACTCGCCGCTGGCGCTCTCGCCTGCGGCCGCTGACTAAAAAGCACGTGTCCGCGCCAGCCGCTCGCCCGGCGTTCGACCCGTTTCGCGCGCCCGCGTACCTAAAAGTAACCGCGCAAGCCCATCCTGAAGCGAGGCCCAGGGATGTGGAGGAGCATGCAGGTGAATGCAGGGCTGGGGATGCCGTCATATGCCAAGAGGAGGAGGATTCAGGAATCGGGGGAGGGGGAGGGAGGACGGGGGATGGGGAGGAGGGAGGAGGGAAGAGGAATAATAGTCGGACGAGCAAAACGAGGTGGAGGAGGAGGAGGAGGAGGCGGGCGAGCAGAACAGCCAGAGGCCTCTTGGATGCCTCTCGGAATTGCTTCGGACATATCTTAAGAACTTCTTGGAGTAATCTTGGAACGTCTCAGGGGTCTTTTGGCGGTCCTGGGGGCCTCTTGGGGTCCCCTGGAGTTGGAGCCAACTTGAAGCCCTGGAGGTCCGTCGAAAGCGAACAGGCGGGGGGGGAGATCATGGCGCGGGCCGTAATATCTCCACAGACCGCATTTCCTTCCATGCGTCCGTCGTTGTGTCGCTGTTGTCATAGCCGTCGTCGTCCCCCTCCTCTGCGCCCGTCGTCGTCGTCCTCCGTGGTGTTCGCCGCGTCCTCTTGGACGCCCCCGACGAGGAGGAGGAGGAGGAGGAGGAAGAGGAAGAGGACGATGAGGAGGAGGAGGACGATCAGGAGGAGGAGGAGGAGGAGGAGGAGGAAGAGGAGGCGGAGGAGGAGGAGGAGGAGGAAGAGGAGGAGGAGGAGCAGGAGGAGGAGGAGGAAGAGGAGGAGAAGGAGAAGGAGGAAGAGGAGGAGACGGAGGAGGAGGAGAGGGAGGAGGAAGAGGAGGAGACGGTGGAGGAAGCCCTGGACGCCCGTGCCTCCTCCCGGGGCCCGGGCCTCCTCCCGCCGCGGCCCGAGGCGCTGCCCCGCGAGTGGAGCCTGGGGGCGGAGGAGGAGCGCTTCGCCAGGCTGGAGAGCACGCTGCTGCCGGGGCCCCGGCAGCCCCGGCCGGTCCTCTCTTCGGGAGCCTCGAGACGGGGGTCAATGAGGACGGGGGTCAGCCAGGGCCCTAAACAGGGCTAGGATCGGGATAAATCGCTCCAGAGCGTTCCGGAGCGCTCTCAGAGCGTTCCGGAACGCTCTGGAGCGGCCGCGGCGCCCAATACATCCTCCAAACCCGCCGATTCTCAGAGATTTCGAGTTATCCCGATCCGATTTTGTCCCGATCTTCGTGTCGACCAGGGCACCGGATCCTGCAGGATCCTGCGAAGAACCCCTCTGGCTGACCTGGGGGTTAGCGAGCCGCTCGTGGCCGCGAGGGCGGCCGCGCCTCTTGGCTGACCCGGGTTTGCAAGGACCTGCGTTGCAGTTTTTTCTGGTTCCTGCATCGCAGTTGTTTGGTTTCCTGCTAACCGTGGTCTGGATTGACCCCGGTCAGGAGACCCCCGATCTCTGGGCCTCCTAGATGTCAAGCGGTGGCGAGGCGGCCTGGCTTCCCCATAAGCCCAAGTTGTTGTGGTCTGCGGGGACCGTTCTTAGAACACTTCTGGCTGAGACCCTCTTGTTTTGCAACATCGGGTATCTGTTCTAATAACATTGCTTTTGTTCTTAGAACGCTTTTGGGCTCTAAGATCATTTCGTGATAGGCCTGTAGGACTGCCGGGACTGCCAGTTCCTGCTCAAAGATGGGGTCCGAGTAGATGGGGTCGGAGGGTCGCGCCGCATCGCCCATGCATCGGCGATGCGGCTCGGTGTGGAGTCCCATTTCCTCCGCGCCGACGTCGCCGACGCATCGCCGACGTCGCCGACGCATCGGCGATGCGGCGCGAACGTCCGACTCGTCTACTCCGACCCCAGATGAGAGGCCTCTATAGGGGGGGGCACATCCGACCCTCGGATCCGGAAGTGGCATTAAGTCGGGCCTGTCCCTCCACAGGGGGAAGATTCAAAATTATCCCAGTGCGACCCTACCTAGGAGTTTGAGCATTTAGGAAAGCAACATCTACATCTAGGCAAGGCTAGGCTATGCTAGGCTATGCTATGCTATGCTGCGCTATGCTATGCTATGATATGCTATGATATGCTGCGCTATACTAGGATATGCTATGATATGCTACGCTATGCTATGTTATGCTAGGCTATGACATGATATGCTATGCTGCGCTATGCTATGCTGTGCTATGATATGATATGATATGCTGCGCTATGCTATGCTATGAAATGCTGTGCACTGCTATGCTATGATATGCTGCGCTGTGCTATGATAAGCAATGCTATGGTATGCTGTGCTATGCTATGCTGCGCTATGCTTTGCTATGCTGTGCTACGCGATGCTATGCTATGCTGAGCTATGCTATGCTATGGCATGCTTGGCTATGCTATGCGATGCTGTGCTAATGCTGCGCTAAGCTAAGGTAAGCGAAGCTATGCTAATGCTCAGCTAAGCTAAGCTAGGCGAGGCTAGGCTAGGCAAATCTAAACTAAGCTAAGCTAAGCTAAGGTGAGATAAGCTAAGCTATGCTGTGCTAAGCTAACATGAGATAAGCTAAGCTAAGCTAAGCTAAGCTAGGCTAGGCAAAGCTAAGATGATATGAGATAAGCTAAGCTAAGCTAAGCCAGGCTAGGCAAAGCTAAGCAAGCTTTGCTAAGCTAAGCTGGGTGAACCCAGGGGGCGCAACTGGGGGAACCGCGGGGCGGATGCGGGGGGAACCGCCCGGGGCGTGTTACACTGCCCGGCCCTTTAAGCACACCGAGTAAGAACTCTTCTAGGCAGAGCCTAGGTAGGGAAATCGCAAAAAATAGTATGGGGACTAATTGTTTTAGTATTTCTTGTCCAGTTTGGGGTATTTGGGTTTTTTTTATTTTTCGTCGAGGTTTGGGGCCGTGGTCGTGATTTTTCCGAGCAAGGGCGTGGGCCCAGGTCGAAAGCTGGGCGAGGGCTGCTCAAAACGTGGCTGCTACAACGGCCCTCCCGGAGGGAAACAACATAAAAACAAGAATGAGGCGCGGCACGCGAAACAGTCAACGGGCTTCTTCCCAGAAGGACGAAGACAACGAACCACATGTCCTCACGTGCCCAGGCCACCCAGAGGGGCATCTAACATGGTGGCCCCGCTCTGGAGCCAGGTGTTTTCACGTGTCCAGGCCTTAGTGAGCCCTGGAAACGACAGGGCAGTTTTTTTACCGGTTCCGTTTTGCAGTTTTGTTGCCGGTTCCGACGCCGTTTTTTTACCGGTTCCGACGCCGTTTTTTTACCGGTTCCGTCGCCGTTTTTTGACCGGTTCCGGCTCCGGTTCCAATCCTGGAGCCGTTTTTGTTGCCGTTTCCGGTTGCCGGTTTTTTGCCGTTTCCATTTTCAAGGTGCATTTATTTGGAAACGGTGAAAAAACGGCCTTGCCGTCTCCGGGGCCCACAAAGGTCCAGGCCACCCAGAGGGGTATCTAACATGGTGGTCCCGAGCTGGAGCCATTTGTTGTCACGTGTCGAGGCCACCCAGGGGGTTATCTATTGTGGTAGTCCCGAGCTGGAGTCACGTGTTTCTACGCGAGCGGGCCCACGGGGGGGTAGTTAACATGTGTTCGTCTGGGAGCGCCCAGCGTGGGTGCCCACAAGAGCCAGACACAATCAATCAAGAGACACTAGATGCAGAACAAGTTGACACAGTTTCTTCGGCGGGTGAATTTCCAGATTTCCCCCTGGGGTATCTAGTATGGTAGCCCCGAGCTGGAACCATGTGTTTTCATGTATGTTCAGGCCACCCAGAGAGGGAGGTATCTAATATGGTTTTCCCGAGCTGGAACCACGTGTCTTCATGTGTCCAGGCCACCAAGAGGATATCGGACACGGTGGTCTCGAGCTGGAACCACGTGTGTGTGTGTGTTACGTCTCCAGGCCACCCAAGGGGTATCTAACATGGTAGTCCCGAGCTGAAGCCACGTTTTGTTTACGTGTCCGGGCCGTCCAAGGGGGGGTATCTAAGATGGTTGCCTTTTGCCTCTCGCTGGAGACACGTGTTCTCATGTATGTCCAGCCACCCAGAGGGATATCTAACATGGTGGCTCCGAGCTGGAACCGCGTGTTGACACGTGTCCAGGCCACCCAGAGGGGTGTCGAACATGGTGGCTCTGAGCTGGAACCACGTTTGTTAACGTGTGCGTTGCTGCTGCTTTCACGCTCGCGGCCGGCATGCCTCCCAGCCCACTGGCCGCCCCCCTGGGGTCGGGGCCCTGGGCTGGTAATGCCGCCCGCGCCCCCCCCAATTCGCCGCCTCCGCCTGCCCGTTTTCAGGCACCTCCCCCTCGCGACGAGGAGTTTTGACATCGCGCCGCATCGGCTGCCACCCGCTTCGGCAGCACCCGGACCGCAGTGCCTTTCCCACAGGTCCGGGGTTCCTGCCCGCCCCGCCCCCGCCCACGTCTGCCAGTGCACCAGCACGTGGCCCGGGCTCTGCCTCCAGGTCGCCTCGGCGTCTCCCGGCGCGTCGGGCGCTGCTGCCTCCACCCCTGCTTGGCACCGCCAGCACCCCGGCTCCGGCCGAGTCTCCCCCTCTTCGCTTTTTCTCCTGGCCCTCCGCTTTGGGCCCTGCGTCCGCCAACAGTGCACCAGTTCGCTGCTCCTCCCCAGAGGCCCTCGCCCTTGCGACGGGACCGCCTTTCGACTGTCCGGCCGCGCCCCCGCCTCGCCCTGGGGGCCTGGGTTGGTTCTGCCGCCCGCGCCCCGCCCCGCCCCCGCCCCGCCCCCGCCCCCGCCTTGCCTGGTTTTCAGGCCGACCCCTCACCTTGAGGTGGTCTCGCACTGGTCGCCGCTGGCCCAGTTGCTTATTCAGGTCACGCGTGACCTCGGCACCCGCCAGCCCGTGGCTCTGCGTGTACACCTTCGTCACCAGCATTTGCTGGGCGCTGACCCCCCCTGCAACGGCCTGCTGCCTGGCAGCCTGCCTTGCCGGCTTCCCCCCCCAGCCGCCGGCGTGCCGCTGCTGGTCCCCGCTCCCCGGCGCCGCCCCTGCCGCGCGCTGGGCCCCACTCTGAGCGGGCCCGGCTTCCTCCTCGCTTCCTCCTTCCTTGTTCTGCATGGTGGTTTCCTTCGTTTTTCGCACGTTTTGCCAACGCCCTGTCGCCAACGCAGAGATTCTGCCTAGCCGCCGATGAAAAATGTGTACGTGTGCGGGCCACCTCAGGGGGAAGTATCTAACATGTGCTCGTCTGTGCGTCCCCAGCGTAGGGGCCACCAAGAGCCAGACAAATCATTAAATCTGCCCACTCGCTTCGGCGGGTGATTCTCCAGGTTTTCCCAGAGGGACATATAACATGGTGGTCCCGTGCTGGAGCCACGTGTTTTCACGTGTCCAGGCCACCCAACGGGGCATCTAACAGGGTGGTCCCGTGCTGGAGCCACGTGTTTTCACATGTCCAGGCCACCCAGAGGGGTATGGTCCCGAGCTGGAGCCACGCGTTTTTTTGTCACGTTTCCAAGTTACCCATGGGGGATTCTAACAAGGTGGTCCCAAGCGGGAATCATGCCTTAACAGAAAGATGTGCCCATGCCACCCGCGGCGGTATCGAACATGGTTGCCCCGAGCTGGAACGTCGTGTTTTCAAGACCGCATATCCGTCCTTGGGTGGTGTGGACACGTGAAAACATATAGGTTCCCAACGTCCCAGACGGGACAGGCGTGAAAGCACATGGTCCCTAACGCCCCAGAGCGGGACGGGGTATGCCCCTCCCCCCAGGCCGCGGCCCCTGGCTCGTCCTTTGTCGCGTTCCCTGGCTTGTCCCCGGCGCTTTCCCTGCCCGGTCCGTGGCGCGTGCCTTGCCGCGTGCCTCTGGCACGTCCCTCGGCGCATCCCCTGAGGGCTCCCTTGGCACATCCCGTGGCGCGTCCAGGCGCCCTGCGCCCCGTGTCGTCTCGTCCCGCTTCGGAACCGAGTCGGATCTCGAGCTCGAGCTGATGGAGCGTCCCACCCGTTTCGATTGCAACCTGTTCTGG